GGGGGTGAACTATGTCCACTTACAAAACAAGTGTAGGAAGGAAGATTTTCAGAACATAATTTATCTCAAATTAAGGAAAAAACAGAACATTAATATTATAATAAAAAATTTAAAAAATTTGGAGATTGTTCTTGGGTCTTATCTTTTAACAGATTTATTATTGGTGAAAAAATGAAAGATGGTAAATGTTAAGCTTGGTGAAACAAATATGAAAATTAATTAATCAGCATGTCACCAGCGTGGGACAAAGAAAAAATCTGAGTGTCTGACAGGATTTGAACCTATGACCTCCCAAACACCAGGCGGGCACTCTAGAAATCCATAGCTCAAGTGGATAGAGCGCCCATCCGGTGTTTTGGAGGTTAAAGGTTCGAATCCTCTTGGGGACTCAGATTTTTTCTTTGTCCCACGCTGGTGGGACAAAGGGTTTCACATTTGTTTCACTGAGCTTAAAATTTACCATCTTTCATTCTTTCACCGCACTGAGTTTGACATCGACATTGCTGATCCTTGCAGTATGCAGAATGTGTGTCAAATATGAACCTAGTATATATAATGGCCTCACTCTTCATGAGTTCTCCGTAGCTCAAGTGGATAAAGCACCCACCGACAAAGAAACAAGGAAGACTCCCAACTAGCCACCAGAGACAAACCACAGTTGCCTGCATGCACAAGCAATTAGCCAAAGAGTTGAACTGGGGACCACATGGGGGTCAAAAACAGATCTGAGCTAGCAGTTAGGCTGGGGCAACCCTTAAGGAGCTACATACTTCCCACTTATAAGCAGACATTTAAGGATTACTTGTTCCAAAATATATATCAAGTTCATGGCTCCTTCAGTTTGCATTGTCAAGGAACACGTTTTGAAAATTCCAAAACAATAATTTAATATGTTGAATTCAGAAGTTACTTATTGTATCGTGGAAGCTCTCTTAGTGGACACTCTCATAAACGAATGGCTTGACTTTTACTTAGCAAAAACCTGTCACTTTCACAAAACCTTGTCTCAATTCCCAAACGAATGCTGTATGTTTACATTCCCATGCCTTTA